GGGGGGGGTGGGGGGTGGGGGAATGAGAGAAAAAAAAATCCATTGACATCTACCACTGGCACAATCTCAGCCTGAGTTACACATCCCAGTTCAGCTCTTTGGAGCTGAACTTGCACTTCAAGCATGACTTTAAAAATACACTGCTGTGTTTCTCCCCAAAGCAAACACCAGGCTCTTTTGGGGAAAAGCTGCTCTGTGTGCCGGAAACAGACTCAGTGCTAAGGTCCACAGGTCCTGCTGGTCCCAGAGGGGAGCTCAGAGAGGGACAGATCTGGCTGAGCTCTAGCTTATAACAGGCTGCAGCCTGTTCTCCCACTGCCCTGGGGCTGACTTTTCATGCTTGTCACAGTTGAAAAGTGATTTTTCAAGAAGCCTTAAAGAAAATCCATTTCTCATTTATTCAGCACTTATTTATAGCTGCAGAAAAAATTGTCCAGCTACCACTGTGCAGTCAGACACCCAAACCGGCTCTGAGCTCCACAACCTCTCCCTTGGCTCCTGCTGTAACAGCTCATTTGGGGGCACAAATGGCCAGGAATGGATCTGTAAACCTTCCCGAATGGGTCTGAAGTGGTGCAGGAACACCAAACGGCAGCGACGGCAAAGCAATATCAAACAGGGCTGTTGTGCAGTGCAGAAGCTGCAGCTCACCTGCCTGGGCACTCCGCCAGCACAGCTCTGCCCTGCCACCAGCAGTAAGAAAAGGCAGGAACAGGGACAGGGCCTGCTAGCATGGGAGCATGGAGATGCCAAATCCCTTCTGGCAGCACCAATCCACACTGCACAGCACCCACCCCAGCTCAGCTCCATTTGTAAAAGTGTTCCGTAAAAACAGGTAAAGCCTAAACCTGACACACCTGATCATGGTGAAAAACAAACATACAAAAATCTAATCCTCTGAGCAGGGCACTCAGAGGTGCTTGTCTGCCCAGCCAGGCTTGTGCTTGCTACTGCAAATATGGACCCACATCTCTCTCCTACAGCCCCCAATATATTAAACTCCACAACACAAGGAGAACCAGCTGCTAAGGGAACACAAGCTTCCCTTTGTGAACATTTAAGGGCTTAGCAGAAAAGAATCTGCACTCCCCAACTCAAGGGAATTCTCCTCCCTGATGTCACAAGTTTGGGGTTTTTTCTAATAAAGATGTGGTCTTGGACTTTTATAAGCAGAATATCACAATGGTAAAAACATACCATGTCCTGTGATCATGCTACTGGAGGGACTTGAATCCAGACAGCTTCCAGCCAGCAACTACATGGGAACCTAGAGAGCATGGCAGCTCCCAGCCTACAGAACTGCCACAGCACTGCTCCAAAGCTTGAATAACCAGGGAGCCACGGAAGAGCCAGGAGTGAAATAGTAACACTTTTTCCCCTTCAGAAAGGCACGCAGGACAGTTCATCCAGCCTGGTATGAAAAATGCTCTACCAGAAATGGCTGGGCTGAGAACAGCAAGCACAGTCCCATCCTTGCTCTACACTGGCTACAGCTTTTCTGCAGACCCTGCCACTGCACAGCAGTGTGCAGGCAGCACAAGTGCCCACCTAGACTCACCACAATCATTTACAAGCTCTCTGTCCTCCTGCTCCACTGTCACACCAGTACAGACACCACATTCTGCTTCTGTGTTGCCCTCGAGCTGGGACAATTGGTGGCATCTGGCTACCACAGCTCAGAGGCCAGAGAACCCTTCAGCATATGCCCAGCAGCAGACTCAGTTCCCCCTGGAACAGGAACTGAGCATCGTTTACCAACTCTGACTGCTCTTAAAGCAGCACATTGGCAAGAGAAGCACCATGGGGCAGCACCCAGCTCCCCCTGTCAAGCCCTGTCCCACTCCTCCCCCAGCAGCTCTGCCGTACAGAGAGCAGCAGATGCTTCACAGCAAGACAGTGCCAAGGGCTCAGGAAATCTATTTTGGGATCTCATATGTCAGCCATTTACAAGTTGATACAATTCCTGAAGCAAATGCCAAAAACAGGAGGAGAGAAATCTGTGCTGGAGCTTTCCTACAACACAAGGATGCCTTCAGGGCAGCACATACTTCTTTACCTGCGTGCCTGAGCAACTTGCACTTACAGATGCTGCTCTCTAGGGTGTTGCTCAGGTGAGCACATTATGCCCTTCAAACAACCAGGCACCAGTTTCCCATGAAACAATTTCCTAAACAAGGCACAAAATATTACAGCCTTAGCAGGCTGAAGAAAAATCTTGCATGATTTATGGAAGTAAACACACCTACCTCCTTTTGAGAGGCATCAATTTCTCTGCACTCTTTGAGTCTTTTCAGCACAGCCTAGGCATCAGAAAGAACCTCAGATAAAACATTTTCAGTTCAAACAAAGAAATCTATTTAATAGCTTTTGCTCTCTGCTGCTGTATGAGAGAAACAAGATTAGTTATTTGCTAATTGAATGGATTCGCAGAAAGCATGATGTGATTGAAAGGCATCAGTTTGTAACCAGCACATTGGCTATAAAAGGAAAACTGTGACTTATAAATCCCTTCTGAAGACATCACACAGCCTGGAGGGAAAATCAACAGTTTATTTAACACCAGTTATAAATGGAACATTTATTTTAAACCCAGTACAGCCTCTGTTTTCCTCCCATGCTGAATAGGAATTTAAAGGATAAGGTAGCATTAGCAAGCAATTCTGTTCACTTGCTGTTAGACAGATTGTCTAATCAGCCCTATGTCCTGCAATAACACAGATCCTACTGCATGGCAATCACATGCCTGGCCAATAAAAGTTTTGCTCACTACAGCTCTGGCAAAGCAATTAGCATGAAGCAACTACAAAAGCCAAAGGAAGAAAATCTCTGCAGAACAGAGGTTACATTGCTGTTGCTCCCAACCCAGGGCAAACTAAAAAGATTAAACAGAGAGTAAAAATACCCCAAAAGAGGCAAATGTGAGCCAACGTGTTGCAAATAAGAGGCAATGCTGTATCCAGACCCATGACACCTCACCTAAATCCTTTGATTGCCCTTCCCCACTGGCAGCTCAGCAAGCTCCTCTTCCACATAGCCCCTCCACTCAGAGTGGGCAGGCTGGTCAGGGCCAGGAGCCTGAATCTTCCTGGAGGGACCTGGAGTCACTTGACATTGTGTCCTGATGAACCCAGGTATGATTCACAGTAAGTTCCTGGCCAGGAGGAGAAACACCTGCTTCCATTTCTGCTTTTACAGAGTAAAGGAGAAACTCTCTTGACTGAGGATGATGTTTTGTCTTCATCAGGTCTTCCAGACTGGGCCAGATAATTAGCTTCAGCTTGGTTTCCAGATTAATCTGCTTCCTGGCTGGAGACTTCTTTTACTACCTGGTCCTGAGCAGAACAACTTATGAGATCCCTGAGGAGGTTCTTACAACAGCCACATCAAACATCTGCAGACTATCTGCCACAGAGATAATTTTGGTGAAATTGTGTTTCTTCAGTGGGAGTTTGCCATTGTACATAATCTCAAGTAAGAGTCAAAATTCCTCAGGTGTTACCACAGAAGCAACAATGGGAGATGGTGTCTGTTCTGTCCAACATGGACTCAAGTAAAAGTGAAAACTCCTCAGGTGTTACCACAGAAGCATCAATGGGAGATGGTGTCTGTTCTGTCCAACATGGACTTAAACAGCAGGCTGGCAGGAGCCAAAACCACCTTGTGCGCTCTAAAATGCACATTCCCAATGAAGATGGTACAGTCACAGAAGTGCTGCTCCTTGCAGAGAGTGTACTACTGGGGCAGCAACTGCCAGCCATAACTGGAAGCTCCTACTGGCCTCCTCTTGTCTTGGTCTCTACACTGCTTTTACAAAGCCCAAATAATGAAAAGTAAATGGATCCTGGTAACATTTCTCTCTACAAGACAGAAAGAAAGAGCAAGAAAATTACTTTTCAGTTTACACATTTTTAGTAGTTTACTATGCTTCAATTTTTAGGTTATAGCAAGATCCTCGTTCTGAACTCACGCTCCTCAAATTCAGCAACTTACTCTGACACCTGAGTAGTCTAGATAGTGTTCAAACCTAAATGAGCAGATATGGACTGAGTACTGAGTCCCAAGAGCTATAAAAAGCGAGTAGAGCCTCCCTGGTGTGCCATACATCTCACAGAGGTGTGAGTGCCCATCAGATCAGGCACTGCAGTGCCAGGCTGTGCCTGCAGCCAGGGGCTGGAGCTGATTCAGCAGCTGGTTTCTGAAAGGGCAGGTGGGGAAGCTGTTGCGGTGCGTGTCTGACGCCGGTGTTCTCTGACCCGGCTGGCAGTGGAGCGGCCGGAGATGGATCATCAACAACACCCCGAGGAATCTACAGGGCGCATGGGGAAACCCTCTGTTCTCGGGATGGTGTGGTCGAGTGGCACAGCAACAATGAAGGGACAGGTACAGCTCAAGTGCCAATACTGAAGATATTTATTAAATAAATAAAAGGCTGCAAACAAGGGTGCAAAACAAAACATAAAGAGGCTGCTTCAGAAGACCGTGAAATGGGGCCGACATGCATATATATAGTCTCTCATAGAATGTAGTCTCTCAGAATGTTCTAGAAGCCTTCTGGCCAGTTATGGGATGTTGACCTGGATGGCCACTCCCAACTGGTCCCAGAGTCCTTTGCAAGTCCTTTGCTCCTCACCATAAGCTGCCTGGATGCCATCAGTTGTGGCTTCTTCTTTCTTGAGGCCTGATGTTGGTTGTCTGGCATGTGGCTGTGTGGCCAGTCCCATTCCATCTCCCACCCTGTTCTCAGGGTCAGAGGCTTCAGGGACATGGGGGGCGGAAAGCAAAACCTGGGAAAGGAAGTCTGTTAAATACTGTACAATCAAAACTAAAATTTAAATGATTGTTACCCTATTGAAACTAAAAATAAGAGCATCCTGACAATGTAACAAAACAACAACACAATAAATGCATCTCAAAATAAATCAATTAAATTTAAGAAAAATTCTAGAGGAGAGTGGGGGTTGATTATTTTGATCTTAAAGTCTTGATGTAATGGTTTTAGGCAGCTTTTAAATGAAAGCAAGACTTGAAATTGAAAGCTTACATCCCCTCTCTTCTCTGCTGGTCCTTATGAAACCTCACTCCCGAGTACCAAAGCCCATGGTGTTCTAGGGCCTCACACTGGTAGTCTCTCTGCACTGTCCTCAATACCCCAGGTTCGCTGGGAGGTTGATTCTCTTCAGTGCCCCCCACACTGGGTGCCCTCATTCTCCACCACTTGTTGGGGCCCGTCTCCAGCTGCTCTGCTGCTAGCCAGGTCAGAGAGATCACCAGCAGTCAGACACGTGCCGCAACAGGAAGCAGGGCATGAAGACCTGTTCACACCATCTACCAAATACAAAGGAGAATCTGAGGTGTTAGTTTGACCCTGCAAAGCACTAACTGATTTGAGACCAGTTCATTTTCTTCCCCAAATCACTGGTAAGATGAGCAGGGCCATGTGAACATTAGAGACAGGGCTCTGCTCACAGCCCAGGGCCTTCAGCACCCCCTTCTCAGCACACCGTGGTCTCAGCTCATCGATTTATGAGTCTTTTCCCCTAAAATGTAATTTTTGGGAGAAGTCCATAATTCTAATCCCATCTACCAGAGCCCCCCTTTAACCTCCATGCCTCCCCACCCCATTGCAGGAGGGAGAACAGATAGGACATCTGCTAAGAGAATTTTTATCAGTGGGTCATCTGGAGTTTTTATCTAAGATAGACAAGATAAAGATATTACTGTCTTGTCCACACACTAGGATGCCTAACATTGGCATGTCAGGCAAAAAGGAGCAGTATGAGCATTAGAGAAAGAGCATCTGGATGGCCCTGAATTACATGACCTTCAACGCTTAACATCTTTGCACTCAGCTTCCTGCTCTCTTGGAGATAACATGACTATCATAGCCTCTCAGCAGGGTACGAGCTTTAACAGCCAATGTACATACACCAATCTCAAAGCTCTGCTTTGCATATGCTTTTCAGAGCAACTCCCAGCTTGTACCAAATGATATCATAAGCAGATGCTAGGTGCAGGCTGAGCTGACATCTCACTTCTTGAAGGCACCAACTCCTCTGGACCTCAGCTTTTGTGGGAAGCAGGACTTCCTGTCCACAGGCAGGCAGGACCCCAGCTGTCGTTCTGCATGGCACTGCCTGTGGTGGCTGTGGGAAGACAGAGAGTAGAAGAATAGAAGAGAGCAGTGACATCACCTCATCCCAGAGCTACAGAAGGCTGAACAACAAGGTTGGTAGACACCAGAAATGCAGGAGCGCTCTCCTGTGCAGCTAAGAGCTTCCTCAGGCTTAAAAGATGAAGTGCTGTGAAACTTGTTTTCAAGCACCAGGAGAAGATCACAGATGGTTTTGCCATCACCTCAAAGCAGAGGTGTTACACTCCTCAGTACTTCTGAAGCAAGAGCATGGTGCTGGTGGGTCCTTCTCTGGAAGGCAGAAAAACCTGAGTGGGCTGACAGCCCACCCTCCTGCCCCCCAGATCCAGAGCTTCTTCAGGCACATCACTACCAAAGCCTGGCTGATCTGCAGCTCATCTTTCCAAGTACCAGATCCATCCCCTCCCCCATGCACAGGGCCAACCACCTGTACTTCCAGTCGATCCAACATGCAGGCTCTGCTCTCCTCCCACACCATTTTAAATCACAAGGAACCAAGCTGCCATCAGCAGAGTTGCTGCTGGTCGTGGGAGAAGAGACAGACATGATTCTTTTGCCAGACTCCATGTAATAGCGGTTTTAGTCCACCCACTCCTTCCCCAGAGGACTTCAACTGGAAGTCCTTCAGATGAGTTGAAATTGAGTCTGCTGGTTAAATAATAATAGCTACAGCTCTTCCTACAAATTGATAAGCAGGAAAAATCTATGTCCTGGAAGAGACATCTGCTCACTTTGCCATGAATAGCCTCCTGCATGAAGCTTATTGCTTGCACTGTGGCAAGCTGGAGGAAGAAGCAGCACCGTCTGCTCCCTCTATTCCTGGCAGGAATATAGAAGACATATTTGCTCATGAGAGCTCAAAACAGTGAAACTCTAAGCAGCCTACCAGCATGTCCCCTTCCTCATATCAGCAACTCAGAGCACTGGAAAATGTGCCCTGAGTAATTAGCATGGACATATTTGTTTAAATACATTTTATTTCTTTAATTATAGGGACCCAAACCATCCAGTACCATCAAAGAGAACAGGCATTTATAAGAGGGGTGTTGGCCAAGACCAGCCCCAAGACATTTGCACCCTATTCAGAGGACCCAAGAGCCAGAAGGGACCACCATCTACTGTCTCTCTTCCAGTAAGGAGCCCAGTCATGATAACTGATTTTTAAGTGGAGTACCCTCCACGACCACACAGTTAACTTACGTCTTGTTTCTCACCCGGGTTTGTGTGACTATGTCTCCCAGCCATCTCTAGATGACTTTTGGGAGATTTGGCTGGGGGACTGGGCAGAACTGGGGATCTCTCTCTGAGAGCAGGTACCTCATACTTCAGCAGCGATGTGTGCTGACAGAGCCTGCACTGTCTGCCTCTGCCAACACCACTGGTTGGAAAAAGCCAATTGTTACCTCTTCAGCTTTAAACTGCTTCTTTGACTCCTCTTGGGAGTCAGCCCCACTGGGGACTTCAAACTTAAGGTAAAACATGGCTTAAGCAGACTGGGCTGCTTAAACCTGGGCTGTCTGACTGAGCTGACCTGAGCCACATAAGAATTGCCCTCTTCCGAAATACCACTCACTTGAGTTAGAAAGGGGACAAAGGAGACAGGGCATTTGCCCAACCGAGTTGCACAACAGGCCTTGCAAAATTAATCCTTTGAGGGGACATGTTAAGCCTCATCCTGTCAGTTTTCCAGGAGAAGCACCAAGGGGGCTTAGGAGTTTTCCTTCTACTGACTTCCAATGAAACTGTGAGATCAATCCATCTAAGCCAAATTTTCGACAGTGCCTACAATTTCTAAGGCTCTACTTGACAACCTGTTGATAAATGTCCCCCTGTTGCCCTTAAGCAACAGCTGTCATCTGCAACTGTTCTCAAGACACCCACTTCAGCAAAGATGACCCTTTTTCTTCTGAACCGCAGAAGTATAGGAGGTCCAGAACATGTCTGCAGAAAACATCACCCTCCACTGTCCAGTTTCAGCTCTTTATGCCTTTTTTCCACTTATTTCTGTCCTCCCACACTTCCATAGTTTGAGGCTTTCATGTTGTTTACTTTGAACTACATTAGAATAGGAAAAAGATCTCTTGATAGCAACAACCTTTCTTTCTTGGGGCAAGTTGAAGGAAGAATGAAGGAGGAAACAGGCTACCCAATTCTATCCACAGAACTGAAAAGCATGCCCAAATTAAATTACTTCTCTTCATTATTCATATAATTACTTGCATCTAGATCCAACGGACTCAAAAGCCATGCACAACACCAGGTCCATCAAAAGATAATTGAAATTTAGGACCAAGCACTTTAGCAATCAGACT